AGCAGCTTCGGCTACCCTGAACCCCTCGCTTCGAACGCCTCGTGGAGTCTTTCGAAGGCAATTTAAAAAATTTATTAAAATGTCCCTGTAATTTATGTGTTTAGTGCCACAAATTATTATATATTACCTATATGTTTATCACACGCAATTCGTCCGCCGCAGTATGACTGACAGGAAGGATCTACTAAATCAAACATTTTGTATATATCCTAAATATATTATTAATACATTTTTTATAAGCTGAAAACACAATACGTAGCATAGAATAATTTTTTTGCATAAATAGACAACAATTGCCAAGATGTGTCTCGTTTAATCCGGTAGCTACCCGATTTTAGGAAGCTCAATGGCGTGAATTTCGTAAGAAAAGTTCAGTGATTGTGGTGCTAATGTCCCGACATGGATTGTGCGTTCATAAAAATTTCGTTTTAGCGTTTCGAATGATAGATTGCACTTTTTTGTTAAGATACTAAAGTACCTAAACCATGCTCATTCGGGTTAAGACTCATATAGCGTACTAGCATGTCTCTTTGCCGAGAACTATTGAAAGTCGAATCAAAAAAATTGTCCAATAGCATCTTTAACCTGCACGATGGTTGCGTTAAGTTTACAGCAGTCCGTTGTCAATGGCGAGAACGTTAAACTATGCTTAGTCATTAGTTCAGCCAGATTAATGAACATATACAAAATTAAATTTTCGCTGTACTCGTGTTCGTCCCATGCTATAAAGATCCAACGCTACGCATAACTGTTAGCTCCAACTGAATCTTATCGAGTCGAGGACATAAAACACACGCCACAAATAACACCTAGAAACTATAGCGGTCGGCTAGAAATTTTAATATAACGATTTTCAAACTTTTTCTAAACCATCGCATTCGTTAGTGGCTTCCTCCATTCGTGCCTAAGGCTCGCATTAATATATATTAATATCCAGTCATTTTAAAGATTTCCACAAGATGGCATTAAAAGGACCTAAAGAGTACAGCATGACCAATATGTAGGGTGTTTTAGAGTCGTAAAACGGTACTGCATATTAGGCGCTTCCAAACAACAGATTTTTTTCGAAGAAGCTCAACGAGATCAGCTGTGACGCTCGGCCCCGTGATAAAACTGTCTTCCCTGCCGCCTATTATGAATGGGATGCCATTTTCATCGCCGACTCACCTGTAGCGTGAACATTTAAACCCAGTTTATACTATAAGACATATTTTAACTCCTTTATACTAAATTCTTTAACGCTAAAAAAATTTCTTGTGAAATATGCTGGCTAGTTAATTGGATGAAATTCTCCTACCGAACATAAATTTTTTTCTTATTTGTGGAACAGCAATGGTGCAAGAATCAGTTGGGCGTCAATCATTCGTGAACACCATGTAGGAATTAGGGACTTCTGGGAGCAACCCCACTCAGGCATCAAGTGCATGTTTGTAAGACTTCTGAGTCAATATGAAGTGTTGACTGAATGTTACAGAGGCTTGTAGTTACAGTGGCTTGTAGCTACAGTGATTCCGACGACGATGTTTCAAATTTATTGTAGTAGGTTCTTAAGAAAGCTCAGATCTGAAGTACTGTCTTTGACAAGCAATTGATTTTTTGTGTAAGTTAATTTTTAATTGAGCCCATAAGTGTTTCGTCTTCCTCGTTTGTTCGTGTCCGATAGCGAACATCAATGAAAAAGTGGACCTTTGACAGCACCAAGACAACTCACGACTTTTTGCAACATGGAATAACCTTTCAAGCGTTATATGTCACTCACCTCGTACGAGGAACATTTCGGGGTTTTCTGACTATTTCCTATTTGCCAAAAAATATATTTAGCTCAACCAGTCTGCTACAGCACGCGAGCAAAATTTTTTTTGGAAGTCAATGTAGACATTTGCATTTATCTGTGAAGGCCGTCTGGCTTTGAAGTTGATCTTCAATGGCTAACGTATACAGGCATTACCGTTGTTTCCGGCTCTGCAAATTTTAGTCGTTGTTAGATGGAGTCATCACCTGCGTGATCTCACTTCGTTGCCATTATCGAGAATAACGCAAAGAATAATCATCAGTAGCGATCCTATGGATGTATCTGAATTCGTCGTATTCAAACAGACGCAAGTGAGTGACTCAGGTGCGCTGGACAGCCATCGCACTTCACTTGCTTGAAAAGCATTTTCTGGAGGGAAACGTAATGCTGAAGAAATCATCTTAATTCTTCTCAGAGATCGTCTCTGTCATGTCAGTGCTTACCTCAGCCTCGTCCATAAATGGCGCTGTTGATGCAACTTAGAATGCGGACATTTCCTCATCATCATTTTGTATCGTCTCTCTTTAGAAATATGAAATAAACTAGAAACGCTTATTTGTACTGGTATGTGGCCAATGTTTATTGGCAAGCTCGTTATCGTTATCTATCTTTAGATAGATAACGATAAAAAAAATTCAATGCTCGCAAGTGGGCTTCCCTAGAGCTGTATTCTCACTAAACGTTAATTGTTTAAAACACCTAATACCAAATCTATCGATACACATTATTCGTTAAGTTTATTTTGCAGTGCTTCATGTTAATCACTGAGAAAACATGTGCTATTTGCTTGGTGTGATACAACAGCAAGTTTGCGTCCTAAATCGTTTACGTTAGCAGTGCCTCTCGTCTATCCAATAGCAGGATACATAACAAATGAGGATTAGGTCAAAGTAGTCTAAGAACTGTTAAATAATAAGCATAGTCACGCGTGCGTCGAGTAAACGAAATATTTCGTTTATACCTGTATTGGTTCTTCGAGTTCTTTGTTATACAATCTTAAAGAAGCATCCCTTCGAAGTCGCCAAGAAAAATATATAAATAGCCAAATGCTTCAGCTATATGCTATACCTAATATTTGCTACCAAACTTATGCTGTTTAGCCAAGAACACAAATTTTCCGATCAGGTTTGCTTTTTTGGCCCGTATTTTTTAACTGGGTAATTGCTATGGTATCATCATCAAACAGTTGATTTTTTTTCTGAGTGAATGAAATCAGCCCATCCTGGAGACTTTTAACGATGTGCATCATAGATATAGCCATAATCACATCATTCTTACACTGCACTAGTCTAAGGCCGTACAAAAATACAATTTTTTAGATTTTTAAATTAAGTATATATCAGCCGGCGTTATCCACATATAATATAGAATACATATTTTCTTTTGTTGCATTTTACTTTATTTTACATATTATGAAGAGGCCTAACACTTACTAATTGGAGTGTATTATTGAGTGAACGTCGGACGCTCGTTTTGTTCGTCAAATGTGCTATAAGTCTTTCCCCTGCATATTTATTCCATATCTCTTGAAACTCCTACTACTATTCTTTATTTTGTAGATCAGATCAACTTACTCATATTAGTACTTTATAGACCTGTCTGGAATTATAGTTTTGGAAGCGTCTGCTCTCCCGTATTTATCTTGAGCTGCCCACTTAGGCCCATTTGAGAATTCCTTACTCTTCCAAGGTCGCGCAGCCTAGATGTATTTGCATAGGAGAGCTGGCTTCTCATATTATTGCTTTTTATGGACCACCTAGCCCATTATCTACATCTTTACAGTTAGTTTCGTGTATGCCATAGCTGAGACAAACGTACATTAATACCTGTTTTTAGCCATTAAAAACGTATCTTATAACTTTGACTGTCTTTTCTTTATTTTGTCACGTTAAATCAGCGAATGTCTCTGTGCTGATGTTTTCCATTATCATAGTTTAAATGTAAAGCGTTCCTTGATTTTTCAAGTTGCACCGGAAGAAGGTAGCTTTATATTTTTGTGAAATGTTATTGGTGCAATGCTCAAAAATGAGACTTCCATATTTTCAATTAGTTCAATGTGTAGAAGCTCGTACGGTAGAACTCGTTTGTTAGGAATTGCTTCTAGCCAGTAATTGAAGTAAATCATGCCTTATAGTTATTGGACAATTCTGAGTAATAAAATTGCTCCTTCGTAGCTTCAGTAATATAGTAAGTAAATTAAAATGAGGTCTTTGCCTCAACGGCTGAATATTTACTTTTTGTATCATTAAATGGATACTGCGGATTTAGCGTATATGATTGCCAGATTCGGTTTGTTAACATTGCCTATTTTCGGACCCTAGAAATGAAGGATGTGAGTCAGAAGTTCTGAGTGAAATTGAAATCTTCACACACAGAAGTGAACAATCCTGTTTCTGACTAAAGACATCAAATTCACTCCTAAAGCACGGTTCCATTAGTTGATCATTAGTTATACATCTATTAATCAAACTAGCAGATATAAAAATTTTCTGTTGCGTCAGTCTTATGTCTAAACTTGAGAGGTACTTTCTATAAGAACTATACGTCTTTTGCTAGCAATATTGCTAAACAATATTCTTTTAATTTTAGAGAGATGTCTAATAAAAGATTCGCATTCCACCTTCAATGGCCTATTTTATGCCCGACTTAAATAAATCATTGTGAAAGGTGATTCATATTAATATTTTTTTGCCAACCCCATTTTTATGTTGTAAATATGATTCAGATAGACTAAATATATCTCTGATCCCTTGACACATAATTAAATACTGCATTCAATAATCAATTCTAAAATATCGATTTCAATTTGCTAACACTTACTCTGCTACGAGAAGCTTAGCAAGCACCAAACGCGTTCGTAGCGTCCGTCAAATGTATTTTGACAGAAAGTGAAGTAAGAATTTTTTAAAAATAAAAATTTGTCCAGGAAGCGCATTCCTATTAAAAAAAAGCAACCTTTTTTACGCAGCAATATACAAATTATACAAAAATACATCGTTGAGAAATAGAATCGTCTACATTTTACAACGCACGATGAAATGATTGGTGTGACTTTATCGTATATAATCGGTAAAGGGAATTAGAACTTTGCAGTCTAAGTGAGCGAAGTAAGCTTTTAAACGCACACTGCCTATTTAAAATAATAGCTCACCTATTGTGTAAAGGTAGAGCTGGAAAGGAAAGTTTAAGTATAATACAGCTTACTTACCAACTACTGTGATTGCCCGTACACCGGGCAGAAACTCACGATCCACTTATAAGAGTAGCTCTTGCACAGATTTCAACTAGTGAGATCTATAAAATAAGACGTTGCTACACAGTTCACACAGGCTGGCCAATGTCCGCGTACTTGGCTAGTTATTTCAATGGGCTTCCTTCCGACAGATACACACTTCATTGAAAGGACCGAGATTAATTCAAGTAAACAAAAAACAACGCTAGTAAAACTGAATCCCTGCTTTGCTAAAATTGGCAAGTTCACACTCTATGGCTACATTTTGCACGTTTAAGGACTTCTTCACCCTTTATGCGCAACTTGGCTCAAAGCATACTTCTCCCTGTAACAGTTGGTAGCCGCCAGCAGTAGGGACGCTCAATAGGGCACTGAGCAGCGCGTGGCTGTTAGCGCTTGCGGCGGTTTGTAGATTAAAGTCGATGTTAGATAAGCATTGCTCAAAGTTGCCCTTCTCCTCTATCTGTAACTGACGTGTTACAACAAATGTGACTAAATATGGAAGAATATCGTCGTTAATACCGCATATGGGCAATTTACAGACATCAAGGCACGACTGTTCCACCACCTTTATACAAAACAGCCATCTGCTGAATCTTGAATAAAAGCTAACGTAAGTTGATTTCCTAAGGCCTTCGTTGCATCTATTCTGCGTTGTTCTCTACTTGTAACAAATATATAATATAAATAAAAAATGTTTTACGTTCGATTTCTGCATTGAACAATATTCTCAACCTAATCTAGTAGCTGTTTACGGACAACGTTTCTTCAATTACTGTGTATTTCTCAGCAGTATAATTTTGTGTCGCAGAAACTATGTTTGCGTGTCTTCATCCATATATTTTCTATTGAAATTCACTTCATATATTATCTGTGGGTCATGTGTACTATTAGAAGTTAGAATCTGTTGGTTTGTTTATTTCGTTCAAATCGACCTTTTAGGATTATCAAGTCGAGATGATTTAGTTGGTCAATAGAGTTCCATTTTGAGAGCACAAAATCATCGAGCCAACTGGATAAATACTTTTGATTTCTTCTTTTAGATTCTTGACTTAGTCCGTGCCTCTTTCATGCGGAGTGTGATGGTTAGTGATTGTTTTGTGATATATTGAACAACCGTTTAATCCTTAAAAGGTTATTCCTTAAAACGTTGCTTATTTTGTCAAACTACATAAAACGACACATCAACGTTGTATTTGAAGGACAATTTTTCATTATTTTTTTTCTTCTTCATATCTTTTCGTTTTTTAGAGCAAAATGGTCATTTTTGTCTTATGAATAGTAAAATATAAATTATTTCTGTGTATGTTCCGTCATCTAAAGGAAATGCCTTCTTTTAGGGAGATATTTTTTTAGAGAGAGGTGATGTTAATTCGATTAATTTTTAAAGTGGTTAATAACAATATGATCTACCTTAACATACAACGCATATTCTTCGCCTAGATTGTTTTTTTTTCGGGTGAAATTATCTGAAATGGGAGAACAGGAAAAGTTGTAAATGGGAACAGAGTTTGGCCTAAGTTAAATCTCAGACTTACGCCACGCGCACGTTAGCTTGATACGTACAAATGAACGGAAATTTTGTCTTGGACTAGTTTAAAATCTGGCGATTTCAAAGTCGAGCTCGGTTATTAAGTTTATTAGTACGATACATGCTATATGCGAATTCATTGCAACGTAGTAACGAGCACAGTAGGACACCAGGGTAGTCAATTACTGGGTAGGGTAACAGGTTGACTGAACAAGGGTTGTGGGATCACTAATACAAAATTCCCTAAATCAAGGAAAGTATAATTAGTAAAATCAATGCAGTAGGAGTTTAATGTAACATGGATATATATTAGGACAAGTTAATAAAGTAAAAACAGCAGAATTGTCTAAGATCTCAACAGAGGATCAAATCCATGAAGCAGGTGTTACAGAATATTGAGATCATTGGACACTGTTTGTCTAAGTGTAAGGCGTATAAAAATTCATATTAAACAGGGTTGACAAGATACAGTAAAGGCAAAACGATAACGGCTTAAACGGAATACGATAACTACACTGAACTAATTAAACCAAAGTTTTGTTAGAGTAAGTATACCATTAATGTCTAAGGTTAATTAAATCAGTGTTGCAAAGAAACGCGGAGTGAAGCCAGGTTGTTTGCTTTATCAGGACGAATGAATGTCTTAAAATGCCGATGGAAGCAGACGTAAGACCATTCTAAAAAGACATCTTTTAGGGAGTAAATTTGCGTGTTTACTTTTCCATGCTTTTGCCAAGCGACTACATATCCAAAGACAACGTAAATCCCAGTTTTATGACCTTGTTTATGATATCGTTATATAGCCATCCACGAAAAGCCCGCCAACTGGACGCCCCCTAAATTTCATCGCGTTGGTTTCAAAAGTGACTGCTTGGCTGACTTTAAACAAGTGTCGTTTATACCCCCTGCTTTAACCATAAAACGAAGACTCCTAAATTTATCGTGGTTAATTGGACAGATATGGAGTGCAATTGGTCTTCGTCATCCCGTAACTCCATTTCCCGCATCGACTAGGCTGGAGAGCACTTAAGGCTGTTTTTTTGCAGTTTGTAACTCTCTGCGTATGTATTACGTCAGATAGGCATGTTCCTGTTCCCACATAAACCTCTTATTCATTCAAATTAATAAAATCATTTTGATAAGTAAAACTAATTCATTCACTTGATTGAGCTAAGTGTTTATTATTACTGACAAGGCAGATTCAAGTAAACTACCTCTGTAGGTAAATTATATGCAACTAAGAACAAATGATGCCGAGTATAAGGGCAAACACATGAATAGCAGGCTTATAAAACTCTTGCTGTACTCAGTGGTAGTACATTGGGAACGAACGCAACACATGAACAGAAACTAGTTTAGAAAATCCGAACCGAGTGTGCGCAGGTGAGCATATTTATTGGTTTGCATGACCATTGTTATCACATATGAAGGAATTGACGTAGTGCTAGATATTGATCGCATTGATTAGCGTTACCTTAAATCGACAAAATAAAGTCAAATAAAACCAGTTGAAACAATCTATTTGTACAAAGCTAAAATGAGACATGACAGAAATGCAACAAGTGAAAAATTTAATGGTTCCAAATTATTTGAAGTTGAGGCTATGTTGTAAAAAAGCTGCGAGTAGCTTACCATCCGGTCTCTTGCAAAAACAATCTATGTGCTTCTTTAACACCATAGCACTAATACGTGTTATTGCCGAGGAATTAATATTTCATAATTGAAAAATACTATAACTGTCATCCGAGGACTTGATCTCTTTTTGGACGGCAGCAGGATAGCCATCGACCTTACCAAAAAGTTTTAAACCAATAGCCAGTGTCCTGAGTCACGGCGAAGACCTTCCAAGCGGAAGAGCTAAAAGGATGGCATTGCCTTGCGTCATTACCGAGAGTCGCGACTAACGCGTAGATTGCGCTACTCAAATCTAATGAGCGCATTAGTCAGTTTTCGAAATGCGCTAATAAATTTAAAAAAAATGCTCTGACCAAGTCTCTAGTCCTCGGGTGCACTTAATGCAAAGTGAAAGAGCGAGTTCCTCTTCATACCTGTATTTAGTCTCAAGGCATGGACGACATGCCCAGGAAATGCTGCAGATATATGGTCGATGACACTTAACTAATGTGGTTCGCTAGTTGATATTTTTAAGGACTATCTACTGGTAAACTAATTTATACTGCTACTCTTAACGGACGTAGGGCCGCTTTGATGATGCGCTTTATCGCTAAAAAAAGTACTTGGGAAAAAGAATGGCTGCACAGGAGAAATGTGGCCCTAAACATAATGGGTTGAAAAAAATAACAAAAGAAGAATTAAATTGTGAAAATATTTTACTGGAGACGAAAATGGCGGGCCAATGCAACTCAGATATCGCATAGCAAAACTTTCCGGGCCAATTCAAGACAATGCATCCAGATCTCAAAAATACGCCTAAAATTCTACCAATATAGATGCAATTGCAACCGGAAGCATCATGGCATGCTTCCGGTTAGGTTATAACGGTGATAACGATGTATATAGGTGATAACGATGAGTCTCGTTAGCCAGTTGAAAGTAAGAATCGGAAGGTTGGGTACGTAAGCTAAGCGAGAGCTTTATAGCACTGAATGACGGACCTGGAGCCAAAGGACTTTTCAACTAACGAATTGAGCAGCGAAGGACAATATCTATTATACCAGGCGACTCACTAGCAGTCACAGTAAAACTTTCGAGCACGGGCTATACGTATGTAGATATCGTTGAAGCAGAACGCAGCCTAGATCACGATACAGACACGTTCGTCGCTACACCAGAGAATTTTAGTGCATCTTTCGGTGGTCATAAACTGTTCATTTACGAAGAGTGCACTGCAGCATCCGTCATGTGAAGTTTTTAAGGAACTCGACAACAGAGGGCAGTTGGTGTTAGAAGAATGTACGGCGGACAATCTAACGGCCATCAATATAAGTGTAAAGCCTATGTTTCACAGAAACATTCACAAGTCACATGTAGACCTTACATAGGAAACCGAACCTTGAATAGCTGGCTGGACTGTACCTTTTAGTGAATAAGATCTCAGTAACTCACCCATTAAGTAAATAATCATATCGAAACCTGATCTGATAACCACGGTTCCTTCCCTCAAGCTAAATTACTTCCACCTCCGAATAAAATACAAATGCGCAAGCGAGATAGGGCTAAAAAAGCTACTTATGAGGCGTTTCTTTGAGTCACAAAAGAGCCCATGGAGATTGCTTTTTTTTCTCTTCCTTCGACTCTTATTCGTTAATCGACAATTCGAGTTTAATAATGTCCCTCAATTATTGCAAAGGAGGTGTTACGAATCGCAAACAAATCAAACGCAAAAAAACCCTCTGGCTGTGAAAGTTTCCCCGAAGAACTGTTTAAATTCTGTTGGGAAAAACGTTTGAGGTCATTATAAATGGTGGCTTCGGACATTTGTCGTACGTCACAACCATTTTTTGCTTAACCATTTCTATTTTCGCAAACACCGCTTTGTTCCACTGGCGACGCGAGCGTGAAAGTTGCTGAGCACAACCACTACTTATTCAGATGGAAAAAAGTATACTTATTTTTTGCACATTCTGACTGCATTTAACAGCTTACCGTGGAAAACGATCCTAGAAACTCATGAAGGGAAACAAGCTTAACCCTACCTTCTAAAATAAGCTGAAGGTGTCTGAAGGAAGGAAGTGTTACCAACAAGGAAATCAGCTTGCCGATAAAAGCGGGACCAACATAGAAACCTATGCTTGGACCATTACTTTATAACACTGCGTGTAGCGATCACCCAGGATAACGCCTACCACATTATTTTTATTTGCCCTGAATTCAAAGAAGCAAGAGAACTTAATAAAAAGTGCACCACAAAG